AAAAAGACATAGCACCAGATTTTGGTGAAAATGTGGGATAACTAGAGCTGCCATCTATTGCTAATGGAGAGTGAGATGACACAATCAGTTTCTCAAGTGTAGAGGGCTACAGCCACTTCAGTGCCTACCCTGGCCAAACTGAAGATTGTATTAAGATCTGTATGTTTCACTGTATGTACATTTTACTGCCCAGAAAAGGGGAGGGGTTAATCTTCGAAATACGCTGATGATTACTCTATCCTACAATAGTCCTCTCCCTTCGTCCCTCCCTTTCTTCCTCCCGGCTTTCCCATGTGCCCTCCCCTTACTTTTTTGCGGGGAGGGGGCAATCCAGCCATGTCACATATTGTTTCAGAGCAATAATTAGTCAATTAATGGCAGAGATGAATAGAACAAATTCAGTTCCTGCCCTCTGGGCACGAGTCCAGGACAGAAGTCAGACATGCCAGTAATGTGACAGTCGCAATGTGGTAAGTGCTGAAAGTGGAGGCAAGAATAGGGGAGGGGCTCATCCAGGAGAGTAAGGTGGGCCATCTGGAGGGAAATACGTGCTACCTTGACAGAGCTTGGATGAATGGGACTGATCCTTAGATATGGTGGTAAAGGCTTTCTGAAAAAAGGGAACAGCAGGTGCAAAAGTTTAAAAAGTGGGCAACTTGGGACCAGAAGTGCTAAAAGGTGGCTGGTAGCAGCAGAAAAGGAGAAGGGATAAGTCAGTGCATCACAAAGGACCTCTACCTACCTGCTGAGGAATTTTGGACTTTATCCTGAAAAGAAAGGGAACAACTGAAGTTTTCTATCATCCTGTCTTCCTAACTAGATTCTTAAATTCCATGAAATCAAGGTCTATTATTCATCTTTGTATTCTTTGTAATATCTGGCCAGGGTCCTGGAAGGGTAGGACAGCGAGGAAGTGTTGACTGATCTCTAAGGCTGTGATAGTCTCTTGGAGTCTTGCATGCTTGATTCAGCCGTATTATTAAAGTGGAATGAGTCAGAGCAGAGATACTTTTGGAATGGAGGGGTGGGGGTCTTATTACACTCTGGGCCTTGTGCTGGGGTACTCCCAGCCATTATCTAATTTAATCTATGTCATTCTTACTCAGAATCTGCCAGTGACCTCCGGTTGCTCTTAAGAGAAAGACCAAAGTTCATAGTATCCTTCAAAGCTACTGTTCACTGCCTGCTGTGCTTTTTACCTATTTAGTTCCTATTCATCTCTCAGCTTTCACTTCACTTCCTTGGGGCAGTCTTCATTGCCCTACCTTTCCCCACAACAGGCAGACTGTCAGAGCTCAGCTTCCTGTGTGATCGTATCCTGGTTCATGAGATTATTTGATTTCCCTTATTCTTGCTCAAGAATATGAGCTCTGTGATACTTTTTTGTTCCTTGCACCTAGCACAATGCCTGGCATTTAATAAATACAAAACAAAATTTGGTTGCATGAGTTAATCCTTGAGACAATTCTGTCAGATAGATATTATCATTCTCATTTTTCAGGTGAAGAAATTGAAGTCCAGAGGTTAAGTCACTTGTACAAGGTTGCATAATCCGTGAGAGCCAGACCTGGAACTCAAGGATAGCTGATGACAGTATCTTCTTCTTTTTGCTCGTGGACACTCAGTAGGCTTTGAGTGCAGCAGATGGATACATTTTCATACTTGCATCAGTATTGTGATTTTTACCTACCTGCTGAATGATCAACTGAATGGACAGTCTTGTGTTTAAGAACGTGGGCTCTGTAGAATAGTCCCAACCCCAGCTCCTCCTCCAACATTTACTAGCTTGGTTACCTTGAGGAAGTTACTTAATCTTTCTAGGACTCAGTTTCCTGGAAGATGGGGTAACAGTACCCACTTAATAGGATTGTTGTGAAAATAAATTAATTCATATAAAACAGTACTACTGAGCACACAGAAGGTGCTCAGTAGTTGTGAGCTTTTACTTTTATCAGCATCCATTTAGTTCTTCCCCATTTTCTTTTTCTTTAAATTTCTTAAATTGTAATATTTTTAAAAGATTGATTGATTGATTTGCGGTAGGGGAGAGAGACAGGGAGAGAAAGCATTGTGGCAGTGCGGGGGTTGGAAGAGCAGAGGGAGAGAATCTTAAGCAGGCTCTATGCTCAGGATCATGGAGCTTGATCTCATGGCTCTGAGATCATGACCTGAGCCAAAATCAGGAGTTCCACATTTAACTAACTGAGCCACCCAGGCACTACCCCCCCATTTTCTTACTGTAATTCAAAATTATATCCAATGACCCTGAGGCAATTAAATTATTTTTTTAATTTTCTGGAAATTCTCTTTTTCCTTAAAACTATCTGCTTCTAAGTCCTAGTTCAACTGTGAAGCATTATTCTACCTCTAACAGCAAAATACAGTAGTATTAATACTTATTAATACTCTTTGCTGTGAATTTCTAGGTTTTAGGCTTTACCTGTTTATACCTCTGCTCAGTTAGCACAAACAGTGCTGTTACAGGAGTAGTATTGTTTTCTCTCACAAATCCCGGACCTTTTCCCCAAAGTAAGCGCCATATTATTGAGCTGTTTGAATAACTGACCTGAACCTGCCCCCCCACCCCCACCCAAAGAAAAACCTCAGCGGTCGGGAAGTGATTTATGTCACAGTATTTTCCTCATTCATCAATAGGTAAGAGCAAGTATGACTTAACAGGAAATTAAAAAAAGAAGAAAGTAAGAAAAATAATCACTTCACATATATACTAATGGTATGCAAAAATCTTAACATTTTTAGCATGTTCCCTCACAGTGGGATTTTCTGTAAATATCTTTTGTTCCTTCCCTGATTGTTCATTGTTAAAATTCTTAACTAGTTTCTTGCACTTAGGGTGTCATAGTACATGGGTGTGTGTTTTAGTGACTTAACTATTTACCTTGCTCTTAAAAGAAAATAACACCTGATCTATGTGTAAATGATGAGAGAAATAACAATACTGCAGCCACCCAGCTACCCGCCCTGTGCCAAGCATTACCCCATACTTAGTCCATGTTGCTCATCTTCACAATAGCCCTGCAAGAGGAATGATATGCCCATCCTGGAGATGAGGAATTAGAGACTTAAGGAGATGAGTCGCTTCCCCAGGAAGCTCACAGCATATCGGGCTCTGAGTGGCTGGGCCCTGGACATGTAGGTGGTAACAGAATAAGGGCAGAAGGGTTAAATTGTAGCAAGCCTGGCAAAGTGAAGTTGGGGTTTTAAATGGGACACCTCAAAGGCAGGCTGAGGAATACATAATGTATTTTGTCAGTGTGTGGAACTAATGACGTTTTTTTGAACTGGGAGCTCAAAACCGCACAGGAGCTCGATTTTTAAGGCGCGGGTCTTAAAGTGTGCCCGGAGCCAGTGGCATCAGCCACACTTGGAAACGTTTTAGATGCTCAGATGTTCACATTCGCTCCCACCGGCTCCATCCTTAACTCTTGGCGATCAGTGACTTAAGGGGCCCCCCAGATGATGCTGAGGTTCTCTCCAGCTTAAGTACGGCTGCTTTAATGAATTCTGCGTGTGCGTGGGGAGGGTGGAGAAGGCAAGAAGGAACAGTGGGGAGGCTACTGCCAGGAGCCAACAGAGTGGTTATTAGAGCATAAATTTAGGTGGTTTCATTGGGAATCAAAAAAAGGAAAAATGGTGACACTTTTCACAGAAGAAATAACGAGACTCAATGATAAATGGAGGTAGGAGTATGAGGTGTGAAGCCTGTGTCTACAGGTGGCAGAATTACAGGTATATACCGAAGGCATTCAGAGGGGGAACGTGTTTATATTCCTCAGGGATCGAAACCTCATTGTGCCTTGGTTTACAGCACCTTTTCATCTGTCTCACACCCACCAGTCTGCACCCTCACCTAGAGAACTTTCCCTCTACTAAGAAAAATGTACCAGATGCTCCACACCAGTAATACAGACCAGGGATGATTGAGTTATTAAATGCCAAGAGCTTTTCTCTAAGCACTTTATATTCATTATCCTGTTGTTGTTATTCATTAGTTATGGATGTTTGTAAATTGCCTTCCCTTTGTGTCCAATCTAAGCTGCTCTCCCCTATAAAATTAATGTTTCCAGACACTGATCTGAGAGGCCGAGTCTGGGTTCTGGAGTTTGACAGCTGCGGGCTGAAAACCGGCCCCGTCATTACCAGGTGTGTGGTCTGGAGCAAGTTACTTACCCAATCTCCCACCTAAATTTCCCCCAGCTGAATTACAGCAGGCAGCGTTACTACAATGAGGATGTACTAATGAGTGGACTCAGGGTTGTTGTGGGGACTGAGACAATGCCACATGATGCTTGGTGCATAAAATGCTGAATAAATATTAGTGGGATTTATGACAATGAAGATGCCAGGTGCTTCCTCACAATCTTCCGATGAAGATCCACCTCTAGTGGGTCAAGAGAATAAACTCTTCATTCTGGCATTTAAGACTTTTCACAAACTGGTCTCTCCCTGCCTCCCAAACCTTTCGTGTGATGACTCTCTGCATCATTCCCGTGCTTCCGCTAAGCCGCTCACTGTCCCCCAAACACGCCCCATCTGTTCTTGCGCCCTGCCTTTAGTTCCCTTGGTCTCCTCCTCTCATGTCCAAGTTCTTCAGGTCTAGCCTGATACTCGGTGTTTGTGGAGCCCCCACCCCTTGCCAGTGAACCCTCATCTATAATATGAGTAATCCAAACTCCGGAGCTCTGATGGCCCTTAATGCTCAGTGGGCTCTCTCAGGGTACTCTGTCTGTGCTCAGCCCACTTTTCCACACCCTTCAGTAGGTGTAGGGTGAGCCTCATCCTTTCTGTGCTCAGTACTCAGCCCCATGACAGAGACGTGCTTTCTTAATGGTGGCAACACATACCTTGCCTTCTTGGTCTTTCCCAAGTTCATTGAAATATATGTCATTTTTTTTTCTTTTCTGTAATGATGCTGATAACCTCTCCTATAGGAATAACATTTAATCTATGAAATACTAATTATTATTATTTTTCCTCAGGATGAACTTGACCTGACAGACAAACACAGGGAAGCCATGTTTGCACTTCCAGCTGAGAAAAAATGGCAAATATACTGTAGCAAGAAAAAGGTAAGAGATTCATTGTGTTTATGGTTAACTGGGAAATTATCATTTTTTGTGCCCTGTGCTTTTCCTCTTCACCACTGAAATTCAGGCAGCTCTTTGTAATGTACAAACCAGATCATGGCCTTGTTGCTACGTGTGCAGCACAGTGCTGACACCTTGGATATTTTTATGGACACTTTGTTGGACACCTCCCCATGTCCTCCACACCTGTAACCATTACTTGTAAGCCTGTGCAACTGAGACCCAAAACCATAGTGGTGTACACAAAAATCAAAGTTTCCACCCATTCTTTACATGAAAGTCGGTATCTTGGTGGATTAGGAGTAGTGTTCTGGGACCTCAATCTTCCTTTCCCATCTCCTAGCAACTTTCCATTTCAGTGCTTCTAGGGTGTGGCATTGTCCTCATGGTCCCAGGTATCTCTCTGGCTGTTTCATATTCCAAACTAAGGATGAAGGAAAGGGGGAAGAAGGCAACACCCTTCCCTACCTCCCCTCTTACGGACATGTCCTGGGAATCATCCACCTGAATTCCCCTCACATCCTACCTTTAGCTACATGGCCTCCGCCTGCAAGGAAAGCAGCCTTTATTCTAGGTCCTGTTACTGTTGAAGAAGGGGAGGATGGATATCAGCACTCATGGTGTGGGCATCACCCCATGGACCATATCTCCTCAATAAAGTTCACTCTGCCATCTTTAAACCGTGTGGAAGTTCTCAGACTGTGCCCACCCCAGTTTTGGAACCAGTCAAGTTCATGGCCATCTTTTGTCACTTTTTCTTCTGTTCTAATAGAAACTTGAATCAAGATGGGGTAAACAGGAAGGGCAGGCTAGCACCTAAGGGAAATGTTACCTGTCTCCAGGGCGGTGGACTCTCTAGTTACTCACCCTTGCCTCAAGGCAAGGAGCAGGAACAAACTATAGCATTCCAATGTCTTTTCAAGGCACAGTATGAGTCCGAGGACCCTTTTCTTATGCAACTAGTGCATTTGCACATGTGACTTGTCTCTCAGCCCCTCTGCCTCTTTTCTGCCTTGTTTGATTGCCATGCTGACCTTCCAGAAACATCTTGCAATAGCGAACCTATGCCCCTTGGCAGCCCATCTCAGTGTCTCTATGGGCAAGTCACCATGGTATAACTCCTCTTTGTAACTCCAGCATCAGAACACATTGAAATAAGTATATGATGACTGAACCACTAATTTGTCATTAGTGTTATACTGAACTGTCAAAATAAATTGAAAGCACAATTAGTTTTCCACCTGAGCAGTTACCATTGATAAAACTATGTGTGGAGTTTGGTTCTGGGGGCCTTTGCTGAGAGACGTGTCCAGCTATAACCTCTCTGTATGGTTTCTGAGCTGCTACCAGATCAGACCAAGTTGTAGTTGTAAGGATTCCTAATCTAGTAGTAACCAGGAGAACATGCTTGTGAATGACTGTGTACTCTTTTCTCTTTGTGCATGGTTCTCTTGTTGAACTGATTGTCATGGCTCAGGAAACAGATGTAATACACTGGGAAAGGATTTTAAAATAAAAAGTGTTCAGTTCTGGAAGTGAAGGCATTGTACAGTCAAGGAAAATAAGGGAACTTTTCACGAGGCCATCTTAAAGACCTACGCCCTGGAACTGAAAAGGAAGAATCTTCTAGTGCCTGTATGCACATAGGACATTGAGTGCAGACTTTTTTCTTCAAGTTAGGAAACAGTATGAAGTGAGGATTGAGAATATACACTGGAGGAAAGGAAAGGGCAGGAAAATGGGAGCAGCTTACTGAGGGGAAAGTTTTCTTCTTTCCCAGATTTTATTACACCCCTGACAGCAATTGAAAGTTAATCATGGAAACTACTGCCCCTTAGATTAGAAAAGGCAAACCCTGGAGGATAGTAATGACCTTGGACTTGCAGCTGCTGCTCATTTTTCAATTTCCAGGCCTATCAAATCCCCTTGCAAACCCTGTCTCATGTGCTCAGGGTGAGGTTGCCTTTTCGTAGGAAGATAGATACGGATGTGACCACTGGCCTCAGAATCCCGTTTCTTGCCGGATGGGCCTTTCCTACCACTACCTGGCCAGACTGCACAGATCCCTGAAAGCACAGTCCTCCTGCTAGCTTCATTCTTACAGCCTGGATTCCTTACATGACAGTCAAGTAGTGGCTGAGTGGGAAAGCCATTTTAACTCTTTAGGGATTTCCATGGGGTCACAGATCTGCCTCACTTTAAAATGGATGCTAGTGTTGCTGAGTTAAGGATTTTCTTGATTAGAGCTTCTCAAAATGTTAAAACTCTGCTATGTGTTTGGTCTGCAACTGACCTTTTGGGGTGCTGTCATAAATAGGGAAATAATACAGTGACTATGAGAACAAAAACTTAAGCATGAAAAGGGCATGATGTTTACCTGTCTTCGTATAATGTGATCTCCTAAGGGACAGGTTGCCTATTCTCGAAATGGAGCCCATAGTGGCCATCTTAATTACTAAGAACAGACTGTTTTTCTTGGACCATATCTTAGGTAGCCTTTTCAAATCAGGCTTGTCACCAGCAAGCCAAACCACATCCATTTCTCAGGCCAAGGGAAAGCTACAGACTCATGGCTTCTTAGATTTTTCCATCTTTCAAGATTAGAACCCAGGGCATTACAGACATTCTCACACATAGTGAAGCCATAGAGTCAGGGGCCATGAAAGCCAACAGAAACAGACACATGAGTTGGTGAAAAGCAGGCTTTCTGTGTGAAAGTGCATAGTAGTTGTGGAGGCAAATGAGACTGGGAACGGAGGATGGGGCCAGGCCTTTCTCAGCCAAGTGGCTCTTTTCCACCCAATGGTGACTTGAGTCCCAGCAGCGGCTGTCTGCTTATCAGGCCCTGCGCTCGTTTCTCACACTTGCCTCTATCTACATCTCTAGTTGAAAATCCATTTCCAGAGCCAAAATGAAAGCAGCAAAAGTATTTCTAGGACTAAAAGAATTGGAAAGAAATTAATTGGCGGCTTGCCTAATTGAGTAATCCGGGGGAGAGTAGGAGATGGATGTTGTGGCCTTGTTGAAAGTCCAAACAAATCTGTAAAAACGACTGGACTGGTTGGTCAGCCATCGTTGGTCCTCTGTGGCAGTCCACTGTCAAATATTTTTTAGCATTCATGAAAGGACCACAAAAAGGTCCTGTTGGTGGGGCTGGAGGTATTTTCAAATAGGAAATGTTTGTGGTTCTTATCTTTAAAGGTAATTCCCTTTTTAGCTCCAATCACAACATACTCTTTTGTTTAAGTGAGGTTTTTCCCAGTCTCCAGCCAGAAACTGCATCTGTTAACAATCTTTTGGATTTTAAACTGAAACTTTTTAAACAATGAACCATCTGACCACGAAAGGCATCTGGCTATGCTGTATTTGCTTATTGTTAACATGATTTTTAAACCCTGGGAAAAGTAAGGAGAGGGCTTTGGAGAGAGAGAAGAAAATGGTGCATATACTGTCTCTCGGTGACGATAATCATATGGGCCCTGGCAGAAACCTTTAATTGTGGTTCTTCACAGGAGTGATTTGCACGAATTGTGTCACTAACCTGGTCCTTACAGGCCTCCGGAAAACACTTGCTCCCGCTCCTTGGGCTTCCACGCTTACGGAGTAGGCAAGTGGCGCTGGATACTGTTAGCTGTAGTGTCCTCAGGAATTTGAGGCCAAGATCGGGATTTGAGGAGAGCACCACTTGCCCTCCTCTTGTTTCCGATCTCTAAAGCCAAGGGTTCGGTAAACGGCTTTGGATTCTCTGTATTTCATGTCTCGATCTTCTTGGGTCTTCTGCAGAGAAGATGAATTTTTTTTTCTGCTGATGAGGGTGTGTTTGACTCAAATTTCATTAACTCCTTTAAGAACCTTCCCTGACCTGGCTGTGGGGGGAGATGTGGCCACGTGAGCAAAGCGTGGACCTGGTGCTTGGTGCCTTTGAAGACATGCAGGAACAGGGGCTGAAAATGCAGCTGATAGTTTTTCATTCACTCCCTTCATTTGGTTTGCATATCTTAATTGGATCACTTCCCCACTCTTCTCCACAAAAAGCAATTCTCCTTTCACCACACACACACAAAGATTAAAGTTGTGTTGTGCACGGTGGTCAGGGTGTGACTCTTTCAGTTCCTTGAGAGTCCAGGGCCTCCTGTGTTTAAAGGAACATAGGGTAAAGTGGTGGAATTAAGTCAAGAAGAACCATGGGCTTTCTGTACAACTGTCAGACAAGCCAGCTGTAAAACGAGGAGGCGAGATGATACGTTCAGCCTTTAGTTGTTTCCAGTATCCTAATGAGAAGCTGCTGTGGGTAGGCTGGGATGAGAAGCAGTAGTTGGGCATTGGAAGACCCGAGAAGGAAGGGAAGCTAGGTATCCTCTCTTTACTGTAATTGTTTAAACACACTGTAGAGTGAGCTTTGGATTTTCAAGTGTTCACTTTGTTAGCTATCAAGATTTGGGAGAGGGAGTCTGTTGACGGGCAAAACCTAGATGTCAGTAATTGTATTTCTAGGCCTTTTTAACAAATACTTGGGTTGGTTTCCTGCCATTTAGTTTTCACCTGACAATGGATTCCAGTTGGCATTTGTACACCCAAGTGCTAAGGGGTTGAAGACAGTGGCAGAAGTAGAAGTGATCAGAGATAAGACTGGGATATATTTTGCCCTTATTCTTTCTCTAAAAGAATAAATGAGGGGAGTACAGTGGCTGGATATTGGGGGGTGTCTCCAGGTTCTGCAGGCTCTGAAGCTATTGGCCTTGTCCGCACATTCCCTGACTCTGACAGATGACAGTTTGTATATAACTCCATGCTGAACCACTAAGAAACAACTGACTTGGAGTATCTGGGGCTTCATTCCATGAAGTCATGCTCTTGGTGAAGGGTAGGATGGTTTGTGATTCACCGAAGGTGTATTGAGTACTCCTCCAGGGCAGACTCTTGGCTAAATTCTGAAGATGGTTAAACAAATAAATTAAATTTCCTGGAGTGGATGATCCTGG